TGCCCTCTGAGCCAAACCTGAAGACTCTTCTCTGGATTCCCATGCAGCTCTTGGCTAAGAGCTGGAAACCCAAAACCAAGGTCTGCCCTCAAGTCAGAAGTAAGACGCTGAAGCGGTTATTGGACTCTGCTGAACTAAACAGTCTCTGGACCCAACAGTTCCTCTCTCAAAGCGAAACCCGGATTAATCAAGGTATCCTTCAGAAACTCTCTAACTCAAACTCTTCAGTTCCTGAGCTAACTGAACTGTCATCCTCACAGACTCCAGTGAACCTGCCCCCAGGCCTGAACCAGTTCCAGTGTTTATTCCATGTGCTTGTGATCAATAAACATTGTTAAACTTTCCATCTGTCTCCGTGGTGTTCTGCATATTGGGCTTTTCTGAAACCCATCATGACACTTTACTGGAATCATTATTTTTTTTAGACAGTTTTTATTTCTACTCCTTACATTTTTGCAATTATTTCTACTTTCAACTCCTTATATCTTAACGATAGACTTGCTAGTTTTGTTTAATTTCAGCTCATTTTCGTTATGGCCTGTTGGTATTTGAAAAAATTATGGCATCAGGGGCTCAATCCACCGACGACTTACCCTGCTGATTCCTCTCCTGTGGAACCAATAGCTACCAATAGCTACCGATAGCTCAGGACGTTTTAAAACGTCCTGAGCTATCTCTATAGTTATGCTGCTATAGGCCTAGACTTCTGGAGGACATGGGGACCCCCATTTCATCATTCTGCTTCATTCTATCTATATTCTCCCACTCTGCAGAATCTGTAAGTTCAATCTCTAACATTATGCTGTCTCTGCTTTTTCCGCCTTTTACAGCTGCTTTTTGTATCTCTGCTTCTCTCTCTTTGAACCCCAGTCGGCCTCGGCAGATGACCGCTCACACTGAGCCTGGTTCTGCTGGAGGTTTTTTCCTGTTAAAAGGGAGTTTTTCCTCTCCACTGTCACCTCAAGCATGCTTAGTGTGAGGGATTACATTCAAGTCAATGAGTCGATGCAATCCACTGGTTTTCCTTTGATAGAAAACTTTGAATCAATTTGACTGGATGATTTGGTAAACTGTAAAGTGCCTTGAGATGACATGTGTTGTGAATTGGGGCTATGGAAATAGTGTGCTAAATAAATACATATACATATACATGTATATAGCAAATGTATACATGTACATATGCACATCCATATACAGACCTATATATATATATATACACACATATGAAGAAAAAAACTTGTCTCAATTCAAACCATACTCAAAACTCTTCCGGTCTCCTTATTTTCACAGGCCTCGAAGAACCCAGTCCAGATAGAGGGGGTCACTGGAAGAAGCAGCCTCTGAAATAAAAAACACCTGTTTTTTTTAAGCCCAGTCCTGAGCTCTAAGCAATTCAAACACACACTCTTATATCTGCTGGAGCCCAGACCGCGATGCCAGCATCAGCATGATGGTGACAAGTACTGGCTGGTAATCTTAATACAATGAAGTACATTTGAGATTTTGGGCATCAAAAATTTAACGCCCTGTCTGTATCTGCCACAGTCATCAGTAATACTTGCTGTTGCTGACCTGTTTGAACATCCCACAGCAGGTTCAAACAGTAAATCTATTCAATTGTGTGCAAGTTGTGGCTGAATTTCTGCTTTTTCTTTTTTTTTTATATCACACTTTTTACATGCCAGTTAGATCCTCCAGGATGTAACCGACTTACGAACCAGAGGTAAGCTCCTATAACATTTATACTTTCTGATGAACCTGTTATTCCCTAATAACCTCACTTTTCATGTCTTCTCAGTGCTAGACCAGAATTCTATCAGTTTCCCAGTCAGACACACTGATTCAAATCCATTTTTTGCTTCAGTTTGTGTTTCCCCATGCTTAGTCAATATAATTAATGAATACAGTAAAATATGTTTATAATGCCTTAAAACCCTGCATATATACCGGTGTGCTCTCAGAGATCAGACCATGGTTCACATAGTATTTCAGACCTATAGATGTTTCTGTGCATGTCTGCACCACTGAACAGTAGTTCAATAACACCCAATCTTATTGACATTACCAAAAAAAGTAATACATCTTTAATCAGTAGCTGATTCACTTGCTGTGTTCATTCTCTAGAGACAGATTACTCATCCCTTTGGTATTATGCTTGCTACTAATTTGAACAAAAACAGAATGTAGTATTTATGCTTTTCCAGGATGTGATTTTATTAACAGTTGCATTGAAACACTGTAAGAGTTTCTCTACAGTGACTTAACAAAACAATAAGAACATTGTTAACCATGAGTATGGTCTCAAAAGATAAGGAGGAATCAGGAAGAATGTTGGTGTTCAAGGACTATACAAAGTATACATACATTATAATGTAATTATATATATATATATATATATATATATATATATATATATATATATATATATAT